TGCACTACTACACAACTAGGTATAAAATGTATAATACACATCGATACCGTTCGGTCGCGGACAACCACCCGGTTGTTTGGCTTTCGAAAAAAACCCAATCCAACTGTTATATTATTTTCATAATATTCTGAATTTATATTTTTATATTTTGAAATATAGAAAATAAATAGAAAATAAATGAAAAATAATCTAAATAACACTACAGATACTTAGTTGTATTATTATGATTTATGTTTTCAATTTTTCTTGAGTTTAGGAACTTGTGCACATATACACGAGYCGCCACTGGATCACGGCGATTGGTCTCAGGTTTTTAACTAACGCAAAATAAACTGCGAATAATAACTARTAAAATTTTTCCGAAATCGTATTTCAAAAATAATAAAAAATWATGGAAAATTTCGTAATTATGTATACTGGGATAAACACGATTAGATAGACACCCTGTATGCTAGAGTATATAGGGAATCTGGGGGTGACTTATGTCGGAGCCGGAAAGATGTGCTGATCGTAATATTAATCCAAGCCCGGCATATGCGGTTGCCGATGGATCATGATACAGGTGACGGCACATGTCGTGAATATAAACGTGCACAACTGAGAGGTCATCATACGTGCCATAAGCACATAAACCGCAGACAAGAGCGACGTCACCGCCAAGTAATTATAATTAATAACTACGAGTTCTGTAGTCTTGGTAAGCTTCTATCGTCGTACTTTAAAATATCTACAGCCAGTCTACATTTTAAGAGGTCGTAGTATAAGTAAACTATTTGAATATATTACACCACCAGTTTTAGGATCGAATCATTAATTTTTTTTATGAAATGTACTTGCATAAAACTTATAATACTTCCATTTATAAATGGGTGCGAAATTAATAACACGACACTGTAAGTCTGACGAGGAGATGTAATGGAAATACGACATGACCTCCACGAGTCCACGCAGTACCTACCCATGACAAATAAAAAGTTTGACAATTATTGTCAAACTAATTGATGCAAAGCGTTTCGATTTTCAATCGAAAAATAACTCAATATCTGTCCACTGATGTGGTGTACCTATTCTAAGAATAGGATGAATAATCCCGAAGGAGAAACCTAAATGAAAAAACTACTGACACAGTGACACTTATATCATGTCATGTTCACAAATATAAAACAATAATATCAATTTAACAAATTRGAGTATTTTGTAATTGTAGTGTGTTTATCATATTATGTACTACGTAGTACATTTGAAACAAATCGCACTGCACAATGCACACAGGAAACATAATGTCAGATACTAAATGTATGTGCACCACACGAACACTATGCGTAAAATATATAACAGTCGTCATATCTATATTTTATATAAGTAACTATACCAATGATTAATGTACGTAAATAGATCAGACATCACTAATGTGCACTTAATAAAATGGACGGAAGATTATTTAAAAGAGGAGTAGGTATATAAGCACTCTACTGTACAAAGAAATCGAGTTTATTTCATGCACTGTAATGTACAACGTTTTAAATTTGAATTTAATAATAAATAATTCTTGTATTTATGTAAAACAGATTTTCAGCGAAGACGGTCAAACTTTTCGGTAACCAAGATGAATTAATGATAATAGGAAAATGTTAACAAATTTTCATATTTTTTTCAACGATTGTTTAAGTGATGAACATTTTAAATTTTGATTTCTTATAAACATAAACTWAATTCAATTTTGTACAATAAATCTCCGTCAAAGTTTAGGTTTAAAGCAGAAATATTGGGTACATTGTGTATGATATTATGATGGAATGCGAACATTCATACCCAAAAAAAACTTTAACGAACAATCGTAATGCAATTTSAAACCGTTCTACACGGAGGTGGGGTGTGGTACTCTATATATTATGAGGTCGACCGTCGTACCTACCTACTATGAAATACGAGGATTTTATGGTTGCCGTCTGCAGCGAGTGCGTATATAATATAATAATAATATAGTATCAGTATGGTTATATAGTTTGTCGTTTATGTGTGTCAATTAAAGGCGATTGCCCCTTGTCAATGAATTAAATGCCCATTGCATCACCGAACGCCAAATATTTAAAAATAATAATAACAAAACGAAAACGCCTCTACTGCACGTGGTCCGCGTT